TGTATGTGTGTATGTATGTATGTATGTATGTATGTATGTATGTATGTATGTATGTATGTATGTATGTATGTATGTGTGTATGCATGTATGTATGTATGCATGTATGTATGTATGTGTGTATGTATGCATGTATGTATGTATGCATGTATGTATGTATGTATGTATGTATGTATGTATGTATGTATGTATGTGTGTATGTATGTATGTAAATATATACATATGTATATATATAGATCGTCCAACATCCGCCTGTAGGGGGACATGTCCGACGTAAAACTCGGGGAGGAGATCGCATGGCGGGGGCCATGATATCTTTCCAGATGTCATGGCGCCTTTTCTTGCTTCAACCGTAGACACGCTGACGGTGTCTCAGCTAACGGCGAAGTAGGACGACCACTTGTAGGAAGGCGTGGTCCGTGGCCAAACCACTTTCAGGAACGCGTGGTTCGCGCTTTCCTACAATACGCTGCGCCGTCTTCGCACGATACATTCGCATATTTGAAATATAAGGAAGTGTGGTTCGTGATTTCCTACAATTTGTTGTGCGCGAGCTCGGTGTCCGGAGGAGGCGGAGGAGCAGGAAGAGGAGGAGCAGGAGGAGGAGGAGGAGGAGGAATAGGAGGAGGAGGAGGAGGAGGAGGAGGAGGAGGGGGAGGGGGAGGTGGAGGGGAGGAGGGGCAGCAGGAGGATCAGCAGGACAGGGGCCATGTCAGTCCGATCGATTCAGTTCGATATCAATTCCGACCAGCCTGATCCGATTCGATTCGAATCTGCCGATGATCCTATGCCTATTCGATGGCGTTGTTGTGCATCTTGGCGCAGCCGATCCGATACGGTTCACGTTCCGCGATGATTCAGCCCGATCCAAAGTACATGTCGGTCCGACCCTGTTACCCGATTCGATGTTGACGAATCGTGGCTTGAGCAGGGGCGAGGAGGAGGAGGAGAGGAGGAGGAGGAGGAAGAGGAGGAGGAGGAGGAGGAGGAGGAGGGGAGGAGGAGGAGGAAGAAGACGAGGAGGAGGATCAGGAGGATCGGAGGAGGAGGAGGAGGAGAGGGGGGAGGAGGGATCAGGGGGAGGGGAGAGGAGGAGGAGGAGGATGAGGACCAGTGGAAACCCAAGAGTCATGAACGATGTTGGAATTTACCCTCCCTCCAAGCTCCTTCTTCATAGGCCCCTAAAACGGTTCGTTTCCATTGAAGGAACTGCCTCGTTGGAGGACAACAGGTTGAAGATCCTGAAGCGTGCCAAAACATTGTTCTCGGGATTCCACCGCCACGTCTCAACCTGACTGCTGCGTCTTGACGATCCAGAATCGTGCCAGAACGCCATTTTCAGGGTTTCAACACAGCGAGCCCACATAATTGTTGCTCCCGCGTAGGAATCCGTGAAACTCTTGCAAATTTGCAAAACGAAGGTGCGCAGCGCTAAGGCGAGAGCCACATTTTGAAAAGGAACCGCCCTCAATCCGTGAAACTCTTGCACATGTTTAAAACGAGTGTGCGCGGCGCTATGGCGAGCCACATTTTGAAAACGACCCGCCCTCAATCCGTGAAGCTGTTGCAAATGTTTAAAACGAATGTGCGTGACGCTCAGGCGAGAGCCACATTTTGAAGACGACCCGCCCTCAATCCGTGAAGTTCTTGTTCAAAACGAATGTGCGCGGCGCTAAGGCGATAGCCACATTTTGAAGACGACCCTCCCTTAATCCGTGAAGCTGTTGTAAATGATTAAAACGAATGTGCGCGGCGCTAAGGCGAGAGCCACATTTTGAAAAGACCCGCCCTCCATATGTGAAACTGTTGCCGCTTTTTTAACTTCAGAGAGTCATACATGGTGAGGAAGTCTCAGGCGAAACGCCCGGCCCGCCCTAAAAACTGACCTCGGGGTGCGACAGGGAGGAGTTATTTATAAGGAGAAGGAATGGAGGATGAGGACCAGGAGGAGGAGGAGGATAACGAGCAGGAACACGATGAGTATATTATCGGTGGAGCATCGGTGGCCTGATCATCCCTACCGCAAGCGTGTGCAGCAGGGACGACGAAGAGCAAGCAGCACTATCCCCCAGGCCTCTCCTGGGCGACACGGCGCTTCAACAAAACTGCACGCAGCTGAAGACCAACCACCGCGTGTGTCACGGCGGCAGTGCACTCCGCCGGCGGCAGCGCGCTCCGCGCTCCGCCACGGGCATCACGCAGCCGAGAAATCATCCGCCGCGGGTCCCATGGCCCCGACGCCGGCGTGGGGGGGAACCGCCGTGGGAATTGTGCACCCCACGGGGAAAAGAGAAGCAGGGCGCCAGCTAACCGGTGTTACGGCGATGTCGCTGACCGCTTTCGTTTTGATTCAGTTCCGCCAGCAAAGACAGAAGGGAGATAGAACGAAGAAAAGCTGAAACAAAACGAAGACGGATAACATTGTTTAGCTCGAGCCCTGGAAGGGAGAGGACAGGGGGAGGCGACGAGGAGAAGGAACAGCGGATCGGCGCCGCGCCAGGGAGGAAGTGAGGAGGGGCGGGCCTTCTCAGATGAACCGCATCCTCCCCCTCAGAAATCATGGGGGGTAGGGGTAGGGTTAGCATGTGGCCCCCTAGTATGAGAAGTCCCGCCGCCTTCTCAGAGGGCGTCCCCCCTCCGCGCTCGCAGCCGAGAGGAGGAGGGGAGGGGCGCAGTCCCACAGCAGCCAACCCCCTCCCCTAGAGGGAGGCGCGTCCCCACCCGCCTCCGCCGGTCCTGCGGCCCAGTCCCCGGCTCTAGTTGCACCCCGTCGATTCAGGCGCCGCCGACCGTCCCAACGGTTCCAGGAGGAGGCGGATCAGGAGGAAGAGGAGGAACAGGATGAGGAGGAGGAGGCGGAGGAGGAGGAGGAGTAGGCGGAGGATCAGGAGGGAAAGAGGGAAGGAGGAGGAGGAGGAGGAAGAGGAGGAGGATGAGGAGGAGGAGGACGGAGGAGGCGGAGCAGGAGGAGGGAGGAGGAGGAGGAGGAGGAGGAGGAGGAGGACGGAGGAGGAGGACGGAGGAAAAGGAAGGAGAAGGAAGGAGGATCAGGAAGATCAGGAGGAGGAGGATCAGGGAGAGGAGGAAGATGAGAAGGAGGTAGGTAGTTTCTTGAACTGATTCGCGTGTTGGCTTCCTGTGATTTCGTACTCTCCACGGTTCGGTTCCGTTCAGAATCTAGGTCGGAACGCCTTCAAAGTGAGGTCAGGGGGACGACGAGGAGATTTGATAATATTGAGAATTAGGACGAGGATAAGGATGATGATGATGATGATGATGATGATGATGATGATTATGATGATGATGATGATGATGATGATGATGATGATGATAATGATGATGATGATGATGATGATGATAAGGATGATGCTGCTGCTGATGATGATGATGATGATGGTGATGATGATGATGGTGGTGATGTGGTGGGATTGCGGTGGTGGTGGTGGTGGAGGTTAGTGATGCTGGTGGTGGTGATGATGATAATGGTGGTAGTGATGATGATGCTGGCGATGGTAATGCTGCTGGTGGTGATGCCGGCGAGGTTCAGGACCAGGATGATGATGTCGATTCTGATGATGAGGATGGTGGTGGTGTTGGTGATAGCAATGTCGATGGCGCTGATTTCGCTGCTGTGGCTGCTGCTGCTAAGTTTGATGATCGTGGTGGTGATGACGACGATGCCGATGATGATGGCGATTGCATTCATGAGGATGAGGATGATGAGGCTGAGGAGGAGAGGGATGCTGATGTTGATGGTGGTGGTGATGCTGTTGATGATGATGATAATGATGATGATGTGTATGGTTTGATGCTGATGACGGTGGTGGTGATGATGATGATGATGATGATGATGATGATGAGTTTGGCGACGTCGATGATGATGATGATGACGATGGGGATGGAGATGGGGGTGATGTTGATGATGGCGTTGATGATGAGGATGCTGATGGTGATGATGTTGATGATGCTGACTATGATGATGATGCTGGTGATGATGATGATGATGATTGTCGTGGTGTGGTGACGAGGATGATGACGACGACAATGATGATGATTATGTTGATGTTGATAGTGATGCTGCTGCTGCTGATGATGATGAGGATGAGGATGGGGATGCTGCTGATGGTGCTGATGCTGCTGATCATGACGATGATGCTGGTGATGATGATATTGATGATGAGTGTGATGTTGATGATATGATGATGATGATGATGATGGTGGTGGTGGTGGTGGTGATGATGATGATGATGATGAAGATGATGATGATGACGATGCTGATGATGATGATGATGATGAAAATGGTTATGCTGATGCTGATGATGGCGATGATGATGATGATGCTGATGATGATGATGACGATGACGATGACGATAAGGATGGTGATGGTGATGACAATGATGGTGGTGATGATGGTGATGGTGATGGTGATGGTGATGGTGATGATGATGATGATGATGATGATGATGATGATGATGATGATGATGATGATGATGATGATGATGATGATGATTCACGTCATGAGCATGGTCATAATCATTACCTTGACCATGCAGATGGTGGTGAAGATGATGGTGGTGGCGGTGGTGATGATCATGAGTAGGAGCAGGAGGACGAGTAGGAGGGGGAGGAGGAGGACAATTCTGTAGTCTTCATGCTGTTTGGGGGGGGGTCGGCTTTTTGGAAGGAGATGCTCAGCGGCTTTGCAGGGTTAAGCTCTGGGCAGGAGGAGGAGAAAGAGGAGGATGAGGAGGAGCAGACGGAGGAGGAGGAGGAGGAGGAGGAGGAGGAGGAGGAGGAGGAAAAGGAGGAGGCAGAACAGGAGCGGGCAAGAAGCAGGACCAGAGGTCCAGCCCCCATCCTCTGGGCTTCGTGCAGGCGCCCCCAGCGCCAGCGTCGCAGCCGGCGCCCCCAGCGCCCGCGCCGGCCGCCGCCGCGCCCGAGCCGTCGCCCCAACCGGCGACCGCCACGCCCGCGTTGGCCGCTGCCGCGCCCCAGCCGGCGCCCGCTGCTCCGGCGCCCGCAGCCGCCGCGCCCCAGCAGCCGGCTCCCGCTGCGCCCGCGCGGCCGCCGCCGCGCCCCAGCCGTCGCCCGACGCGCCCTTGCCAGCCGCCGCCGCGCCCCAGCCGGCGCCCGCCGCGTCCTCGCCGGCGCCGGCGCCGGCGACGGCGGGCGCGTCAGCGCCTGCCGCGGAGCAGGCCGGCGAGCCGGCCGCTGGAGCTGCGGCGGCTCAGTCAGGGGAGGAAAAAACACCCGGACCGGACACTTGGCGTTTACTAGACGGCCCTGGGCGTTTACTAGACAGCCCTGCCCAGTTTGATTCCTTCTTTGGGTGAGTTTACTAAACGGCTTCGCGTGTCGGGGTGGTTATTATCGGGGTGGATTTTCTGCCTTCTACTCAGGCCGGGCTGGGCGGTTGCCGATCGCACGTCGGGGGCGGTTGCCGAGGGCGGTTTCCGTCGCTCGGAGCGTGGTGCTTTTGGGTGGTAAGGTTCCGGTTCTGGAGCCAGGGGTATATGTCGGGCTTGTTTCTCTTGCAAGGGGAAGATGCCAAAGTACAAAGAAATAGTCGGGTGGCCATTTTTTGAGCATTTTTGTTGCATTCTTGAGCAGTTCCTGGGTATGTTTTTTTCCTCCAAAATCCCCCTGTAGGGGGACAGGCTGGACGTACGTAAAGCCAGGGGGGGCGTTCGTTCGTTCGTTCGCAAGGCATGTCGCACGACACATCGGCTCAGCAGGGGGACAAAGTGCTTGCCGCGCAGGATCAGCGGCAAGCGTTGATCACACCTATAAGCAAATGTGGGGTCAATGGGAAGACCATATGGTTTAACAATTGCTTTCGGGAGCCTGGAAAGGTCATATTGTATAACAACGGCTTTCGGGAGCCGGGGGGGCGGCGTGGCCAAATTGGGAGAGGGAGGGGTACGATTTCGTAGTCCAAGGGGGAGATGTGGAGGTCCTGGACCCCCCCCCTCTCGGGACATCCAGCTGCGCTCCATCGTAAAGCTTCTCCTAAGAAGGAGTAGAACAGCAAGGAGAAGAAACAAAAATAATAAGGGTGTTGGAAGAGGAAGTACCATAAATCTTAAACCATCTCCGTTCAGAGGGCTGGTGGGATTTGCGCCTCCACGTCGGAGCCAGAATCACCGCCTTTGGGGCCCTCTTGGAATGTTCTGTTGTGGCTCTATGGGGGCATCATGGGGTCATCTTGAGGTCACGGAAGCCGGTTCGAATCGAAAAGGAGAGGTGGCACGTATCATTGAATTCGCATCAGGTTGTCGGTTGAGTTTGGTCTCTCGGAAGCATCCTTGGGAGGCTCAGTGGCCGCTTGGAGCCGCCGTGGGGCTGTCTTCTGGCCTTTTGGAAATATGTCTGAGGCAATCTTGAGCGAATCTGGGTTGTCTTGCGCCATCTTGGGGGCCATCTTTGGGCTGTTCGGGGCTATCTTGTAGGCATCTGGGGCCAAAACAGCTCCTCTTAACACCTCGCGGGGGAGGTCGTCCATACCCAGGGGAGTGTGTACGCAGTCGTGGTGCTGAATTATGGACCGATTTGGGCCCGACGGGGGTTGTGGGTTCGGGGGCCGTGGAGCCCCTCTGTGGCCGAGGCCCGCTGTGGCCTCTTGGGCGTTCCTTCTGGGAGCACGGTGACCGCAGGCAGCACCCCAGACTCAGTGCAGGCAGCGGCTGTCATCGGACGGGCATCCACTGAGAACCACTATGCAGTCCCTCTGGTAGCAACTCATGGGAGCCTCGTTCGTCGTTGGAATTCCATCTCCAGAGTGCACACTAGCGTGTGCCAGCGCCTCGTGATCGATGGAGCAGGCGCGGAGTTGGCGTCGACTGGCGTCGATTCAGCGCCGACGAGTGAGCGTCGGTTAGCGTCGACCCACAGGAGCCAGCGTCGAATGGCATGGGAGGCTCCCAGAAAGCTGCCACAGAAGGCCTCCACGTGGGCGACCCGTCCATGCCTCTTTCAGGAGGGGAAAAAACACACAGACACAATTAATCGTCGATTCCCAAGAAAATATGGGAAAATCCGCCGGCCCCCTTGTGGGGCCACCAGGCTGTAGGCGCGGGATTCGCAGTTTCCTGTACCAGTTGTAGCTTGTAGTTTCCAGTGTTACAGTTCTGCTTCTTGCTGGTTACTGTAACTAGTTGATTGACCGCGCGAGGGGGGGGGAGGCCCAAACGGATTTTTAGCACCTCCTGGGCGCGTTGTCTGAATTGCTGGGGGGGCTCGAAATCGACACCCCTCACGCAGATCCGCGGGGTCAGGGTCCAAAAACACAGGGATTTGCCACATTTCTGAAATTCGGTGCCACCCCTCACGCAGATCCGCGGGGTCAGGGTCCAAAAACACATGGGATTTGCCACATTTCTGAAATTCGGTGCCACCCCTCACGCAGATCCGCGGGGTCAGGGTCCAAAAACACAGAGGATTTGCCACATTTCTGAAGTCGGGTGCCACCCCTCACGCAGATCCGCCGGGTCAGGGTCCAAAAACACATGGGATTTGCCACATATCTGAGATTCGGTGCCACGCCTCACGCAGATCCGCCGGGTCAGGGTCCAAAAACACAGGGGAGTTGCCACATTTCTGAAATTCGGTGCCACCCCTCACGCAGATCCGCGGGGTCAGGGTCCAAAACACAGGGGATTTGCCACATTTCTGAAATTCGGTGCCACCCCTCACGCAGATCCGCGGGGGAAAAAGTTTTTTTCCCGGCAAACTCGACTTTTTCCCGGCAAACTGGACTGTTTCCCGGCGATCCGTTTCAGAAACATTTAAAGCTTTTGAAAAGCTTTACAGAGTTCCCTCCGACGACGGACCCTGGAACCTCTGACGCGGCCGCCTTGGGGCCTCCTTAGGCCGCCTTGGGGCCTCCTTAGGCCCCCTTGGGGCCTCCTTGGGGCACTCTTGGGCCGCCTTGGGCCAGCTTGGGGCACTCTTGGGGCCGTCCTGGGTCGCCGATGAGGCCTTTTGGGCCGTGCTGAGGACGTCTTGGAGGCCACTAGTATTGATGTTATTCGTGGTACTACCAATGCTGTCCATGTATGTACACCTCAGACTGCTGTGATTGGATGTGCGACTGCTGCTCCCGATACTGCTTTCGATACTGTGCGACTACTGCTGCCGACGGTGATGATGACGGCGAAGATGATGATGATGAGGATGAGGATTACGATGATGAAGATGATGATGACGGTGATGACGATGATAATGATGATGACGATGATGGGAGGAGGGAGGAGGGCAACGGAAGTGAGTGAGTGAGGTGACGCGGGGCGCTGTTTCTTCAAAGCGAGGCCCCAACACCACAGGATGGTTGGGGAAAGAATCACGGTGCTACTACTATCTAGTGGCCTTCGGCCCATCCCGCCACCGTGCCTGGATTCGTGGACATTGGACGTTGTTGGAGGCTATGGTGCCGTCGTGGAGCGGTGGGGAACCGAAAGCGCGAGAATCTCAAATTCTGGACCACTCGAGGCATGTCGGCAGCATGCCTCAAGTGGTACCGAAGAAGTACGTCTTGAGGCATGTCCGTTGTATGCCTCAAGCAGTACCGATCAGGTATCACTTGAGGCATGTCGGCAATATGCCTCAAGTGGTACCCAATGTATGTGTGTCGGGATCTCGTGTTACGCCTTTCGGGGGTCTTTGGGAGGCAGTTTTGAAACCTCTTGGGGGCCGTTTTAGGGCCTCTGGGAGTCTTTTGGGGGCCTCATGGGGGCTTCTTGGGGGCTGCTTGGGGCTTCTTGGGGGCCTCTTGGGGGCCTCTTGGGGGCCTCTGGGGGCCTCTTGGGGCACTCTTGGGCCCCCCTTGGGCTCCTGGGGGCGGAAAGTTTGATTTTTTGAATTGTTTGTCGCCCTCTTGGACCCCTCTTGGTGCCGTCTTGGAGCCCTCTTGGGCCGTCTTGGAGCCCTCTTGGGCCGTCTTGGGGCCGTCTTGGGCCGTCTTGGGGCCGTCTTGGGGTTCTCTTGGGCCTTCTTGGGGCCGTCTTGGGGGCCTCTTGGGCCGTCTCAGAGCGTCGGGAAGCCGAAAAGGCGAGAAAGCAAAACACATCGAAAAACACAATGGGAAATCAACAATGTTAGCCTCTTGGGGCCCTCTTGGGAGGCCTCTTGGGGGCCTCTTGGGCCGTCTTGGAGGCCTCTTGGCCCGTCTTGGGGCCATCTTGGGCGTCTTGGAGCGCTCTTTGGGCGTCTCGGGCCCCTCTTGGGCCGTCTTGGATGCCTCTTGGGGCCCTCTGGGCACGTCTTGGGGCCTTCGTGGGCCCGAAAAAGTCACGCGGCCAGCTGCGACAAGGCCCAAGGCAGCTGCGACAAGGCCCAAGGGAACCGCGACAAGGCCCGGGAGATTTTGCAATTTGGGCTCTGGTGCCCTTAATGATTCCTCAGGAGCGAGGACTCAGGCTCAGGGGACTTGGCAGAGGACCTCAGGAAACGCCCACTCCGTGCCCAGAGGCACTGTGGCGGATAACCAGTAGTACGTCTACCTGGACGGTTTTTCACATCGCTTACGAATACTTCTGCTTTTGCTACCACTAATCTTTCCACTACTACAACTACTATTCGTAATCTCACTATCCTTAATACAATCACTCCTAGTAGTACTAATCCACTAACCCTACTACTACTACTGCTACTACTACTACTACTACAACTACTACTACTACTACTACTACTACTATACTATTACTATTACTACTACGACGACTACTACTACTACTACTACTACTACTACTACTACTACTACTACTACTACTACTACTACTACTACTACTACTACTACTACCAATACTACTACTACTATTACTATTACAAACACTGCGAGGAGTAGTGCTACGGCGAAGGCCGCACGACACAAGTCAACCACTGGACTCTTTCCCGGCTAGGATCTGCGCAGCGGGAGTTGGAGACCCTTCAGGTGATAGTGGGATTTTCGGAAATCCATGCTTCAAGCTTCCATACAAAAACTAAGCAAACTGGACTCTTTCCCGGC